ACTAGGACAATTCCATATTTTTCAACACCATTTTGCACAACACGTTATTATGTAGCAGCTTATCAACAGCTCATTAATAAATCGTGGCTGTCCCAAACAGACTCGTCAAATCAAATTTGTTGAACTTAATTAGAAATTAATTTAAATTTCCATAATAAATCGAATTTAAATACAAATTTAACCCAGAAAGGGACTGGAATCATTCCAGCATGCAAGCGATTGATGATACACTAAGAACAGTAGTACAATCATTAGTTATAAGAAGCTCTATAATAGTGGGACAGTTGTTTATAGTGCTCCAGCAACAATCAGTCATAAAGCTACATTTTATTATTTGTTTGGTGAAGGAATTTTAACGTTATTGAGGAAGGCTCGAGTTTGCATGATTCACCATCAACCTAATAAATTCTATGGAATTATAATTTCTATTCTCATCTCTTAATAAAAATATTGCAGGAGTAGGGAAAAATACATCATATGATGTCAAATTTTAATAAAAATTTGATGCCTTTACATATATATAGTACACAATTTTTATGTATTTATATATCTAAAACCTAAACTTTTTGTATTTACAAACCTTTAATATTGTATGTCAGAAATGAGTCAGCACGAATCTATAAGAGATTTAATGGACTACAAGATAAAAGTATAGTCTCAATGATGGCTCGACATAAGAAATAGGCATTGCGCCATTAAGATGCTCAAAGAGTCCTATTAACCGGCTGTAGTTTTCGAAACAAGACTCGGGGTGGAGCGAACAAAGGTCAGCTGAGCCAAGGATCGCATCCTATCCGAACAAGGAGAGGGGTCACTCCACCCCTCACCCGGGCACCATCAGACGCCTCATAGAAGTATAAAGGCTCTTCAGATGGCTCTGAGTCCTTATCACCAAACAATCATCAAGTCCTTTGAACGGATATCTTGCCAGAGGGTAAGCTACTTATCAAATTACAGTTATTCACTTTCTGCTTGATAGCCTAGCCTGCCTCAGCATCTCGAGTTTCCCGTCCAAGGCTCAACGGTCGGACCAAGATAGTCGATCGACTGACTAGCTAAGGCTAACTAAAGGACTTCTGGGCCGACCAAAAGGTTGCGAGCCAATCGAAGGTCATTCAGACGACTGAAGGACCACCAAGGCCGTCTGACCTAATGAACGTGGCCAACTTAGTTTAAGCATATCTTGAACAGTTTAATTTTTGAGTTAGATTAGATTAACTAATTAATACAATTTTAACTCAAAATTTAACTAAATTTAACACCCTCCCCCCAAAAAAATCCGAACCTAATTAAAAATTGACCCGAAAACTCAAATTTAATCCAAATTTGGCTAAAAGTATTTTTTTTAATGTAAAATGATTGCTATACCTCAAATAAAATGATTTGCTTGTGTACTCCATATTAGTCATGTTAAAAATAAACAGATTTAAGTCGAATTAATTTGACCCGTTTAGTGAATGAGTCGGACATAATTGGGACTGCTAACAATCCGATTTCAAACCTAGGTGGGTCAAAATTTTGGCTCTTATCTCAACTCGTTTATTTCGATCAGATCTCAATCTAAGCAAAAATTCGTATCAATTTTGAATGATTAAGGATCTTTCAGTTAAATTCTCTAAATTCACAGCCCTAAAATCAATTTAGGATTGCTAACCCGATTTCAAACAGAGCTTGGGTCCGTTCAAAATTAGCTAAAAAAATTCAATCCAAAACTTTAACTTATTGCTCAATTTTTATTTTTCAATCTAATCACAATCCGAGTCAAAATTTAAAACAATTTTCGAGCTAAATTGAGAGCCTTTCATTTAGTAAGGCTTGGATACGTAAGAGTCAACCCATAAAAATAGTTTTGACTAATGTACGGACGAACCTGGGGCTACCGAGCACGCCGGCGTTGCAGGTGAGCTGGTCGATGAACTGAGCGGACTTGGGGTCCAGGCTGGAGGCTTTCTCGTACGTCGCCGCCGAGCCCTCTCCCGACGGCACGAAGTAAGCGCCGTTGACCAGCATGTCTCCCTCCGTCCTCCAATTCCACTCCTTCCACTCTTCCTCATCCGTCTCTATTCTCTTCGTCACCTGCCCAACAAAGCCGGGAAATTTACATGCACGCCCCTCAATTCTTATGGATTTGCATATATGACATGATTTTTACATTTCTACGTGTTGGTGTTAAGAATTTAAGTGTCGTGGGTGTTAATATTAAAGTTTACACTTAATTTTTTTAGCTTAATAAGTATATTTAATGAAGAAAAATATGCATAAATACATTTTTTTTCCAAATTAAAATTTAATTTTTATTTAAAATAGTGATTTATGGAACTCATAATTAAATACAATAAATTGATGAATGATTTTTAGACCAAGCCAGCTTATCATGTTTAAGAACTAAAAAACTTGAATAATTTAATTAATATCTAATTAGTCAGGATTAATAGTGATCACTTATCACTTCCGTTGGATAGCCAACGCACTAAATACTTATCTTAACGTGAATCATCATAGCTAAATATTAATAAAAATAGTAATAATCTTTATAAAACCTAATCTTTGGGGCAGTTTGTGTTTATCCAGATAAATAGCTTATCTGAAACACGATGAGGTTGACTCGTGTTATGTGTTAAGTGTAAAAAATTAACTACATTTTTAGATAAATTGTTCAAACACAGTCCGTATTTTCAAAAGGTCATCGTAGCACATAAGCTGCCCCAAAAAGAGCCTGAAGCTGATTTGAGTTC